CTTTCCGGATATTCTTACGTCTTATTTAACGGTTTTTCAAGCATTTTCGCTCTCAAACAGAGCATTTATATTCTTCCTTAAAGTTTCTTATATCGGCTATAAAAATTATTATTGGTCGTAACTATATTAATTACAAGAAAATGAATGAAATAGTAGTTTCAACGACTAATAAGAAAATTCTATTCTTTCTGAAAATGTAATCCAGTTCTTTATATAAAATTTTATTTTCACGATTGATTCTCGTCTTGCTTGATTTTCTAAAAATATTCAGGTGAAATTTAAATTGAAAAAATTCCTTTTACCCAATCTGATTTTATACTATGTTATAAATCTTATATTGTGTATATTGTTCGTTATTTTTAATGAAATTTTATAACAATTTGTTCAATGATAATCTATTTAAAGTGCATATAAAGTGTGTATAAAATTTAAAGCAATATTTTCATAAAAACTTTAATACCACAAATTTCTTTTAATTACAATATAATAATTTAATTATTTAATAGCCAATATTTATAAAGCAATTACTTCTCAAATTACAATTGCATAATATTATATTCTGGTTTTGTATGACTAGTACAAATTATTATTAATTAAGCTAATTAAGTTGATAGTCGAATTCTTTGTGTATGCTTCTAAGAAAAAAAATAAATAAAAAAAAAAAAATAAAAAAAAAAATAAAAGTTATTTACCGTAAATGTATTTGACTAAAATTAGCTTTGCTCGTCATTATTTATTCTTAATTTTTATTGTCTGTTTTATCGTATTCGTGAAATTTTTGTAAAGTGACTTTATGATTGTATACGATAATTTTTGTACGTTGATATGAATAATGTATAATATAATAATTTTGTTGTGTGAGGGTCCAAACATACTTTAAAATTAAAAAATTGAATTATAAATTTCTTAACTTATAGAAATTAGATGGTTAGGTAATTAAAGAAAAAACATTTATATGATAGATTTCTTATAATTATTCATATATACTTAATTATATTTTTTATTAAAAGATTGTTTACATATTTCTAGAAATATTAAGATGAAAAATAGATAGAAAATTTCAATATCGGAATTTTAGTAAAACAATTGCATGCACTTGTGGAATTTCAGGCAAATTGAATCGACACTTTCAATGAACATTTTCGATATCCAAAGATAACACTATGGGAGCAAGTTTAAAAATGTGTCGGAAGACCGAAATAAAATAAAATAAATTTGGAAAAAGTTGGACGCGTGATTAAGACGGCATGGATTAAAACATATTGATTTGAAGTGATTTTTGACGTGTAGATTGGATGGGAGAAGGATGGTATGAGAATATAATGATGGAAATTCAAATAGAAATCCATGTGTCAGCGTTTGTAAGCAGCTTTTCATGTTCCGGACTTCAACTTGTTTTTGACAAGACACGAAGATTCTGGTTGAGAATTTCAACCTAGATATGTGCATCTCTTTCCTTAAAATCGTAAATCTCAGCTCGTTTCGAATAGTAAATCATTACTTATCAAACGCTTCAATTTCCCAAATTTGATTTCAAATTGAATTCACTATCCTTGCCATTATGCAAAGCTCAACAGCCTTCTATTCTACTCTTTTATACATTTTTGATGTATTTTTTTTTTATTTTTCATATTTCCACTTATTTTGCTTTTTGTGATTAAGAAGAGAGAGAGAGAGAGGGAGAGAGAGGGAGAGAGAGGGAGAGAGAGAGACATAACGATACTCTGCTTTACTATGCTTTTAATCAATAGAGAGTTAAATTCAGTATCACGATAAAATTAAATTAAAAATTTTTTGTATGCATGTCAATATCCCAAACACATCTATAATTTATTAGGATTTTGAAATTATTAAATCGACGTCATTTACTTTTATTTTTCATAAGTAATTTAAAAAAGTTATTCATTTAATTTAATTCCTTTTATATTTGGTTTGTATTATATTTATAATATTAAACAATATGTATGTACAAAAAGGAATAAATTAAATTCGTCTAAACTAAAATGACTAGTAGACGCTTAAAATATTTATTTTAATATATTTAGTCCAACAAATTTGATTATTTAATACCTATAATTATAATATTAAGCACGAATAAAATTTGTAAAATTAATACTTTACGAACTATTAACTTAGCTTCTAAATTTATTCTCATAATTAATTTTTTTAATTTAGTTAAGCTATCAATTTTGTAGTAGTTGTGCTTATAGGGTGCTTTTGTAATTCTGTATATATTATGTATAATAATGCAATAATTAATGTATTATTCTAAGAAATAAAATTAACAACCTACGCATTAAAGACATTATTTATTAATTTTTCATCTATTGTGATTTTTCTTTAACAAAATTTAATTTGATTCATTACATATAAATATATTTATCATAATTTTCATTATACAGAACACTACTCTATTAGCATTTTTTCGCAGACTACTATTTATGATAAGTTGTAAAGATATATTAATTAATATAAATAATATTTCGTTTTGTATATAGAATTGAAATTTTTTCTAAAAAAAAAAAAAAGGTTTTTATGTATAATATTTGAGTATTTTTAATAGAATGGATAAATTTAGTTAAATTTTAAGTAAAGTGACCAGCAGTGGATAATCAACATCAATTCAATAAGCCGTTCTCTCTCTCTCTCTCTCTCTCTCTCTCTCTCTCTCTTTTTCTTTTTCTCAGTGTTTCTAAATGTACATTTATATATATATATATATTTATTATCGGTAAATTCGTTTAGTTAATAAAAAATAATGTAAAAATTAGAAAAATAATACTTAAAATTGAATTGCATCGATGTAGTTTTTATCAGTAAAGTTTTTATTTTCTTTCGCTTTCCTCTCGAGCGCATCTGCATTTTCCAGCTTTCTACCATTCTTCTGCACCGGTAGTCAAAATTTTCAAAATTATTTCTTAGAAGTTGTATTAGTCAAACTACTTTGTCAGCAGATTAAGTTTTCCAATGCTTATCTCCTTTATGAAAGACTGCGTATTAAGGCTGAGAGAGAGAGAGAGAGAGAGAGAGAGAGAGAGAGAGAGAGAGAGAGAGAGAGGGAGGGAGAGAGAGAGAGACGCAAGATATAACCTAAGGAGTAATGGAGTAGACAGTGAGAGCTGGAAGAGATGGAAATAAAATATTCTTTTTATGCGTGAGACAAATACTGTGGAATGCATAGAATTATTCGTGTAGATGCGATGCCGCTGCCACGCCACTTTCAGCCAATTTGTGATTTACGAAAAGATTCACAAGTCAAGTATCACGAAAGAAGAATATAACAAATTCTAATATTGTGTGTTATGAGTATTAAATTCTATATTATTTTTTTGTATTGGAATGTTTTGTGTGCGATTGATTAAATATAAGAAAAATTAATTATAAATATGCCTTGAATCTCTAGTTTATTTAATTTTTGCATTACATACGTTATTTAAACAATTAATTTGTGCTTGATTTTAGTATTAATTATAAACAATAGGTGAATTTGCTGATTTTCGAAGCAATTCAATATCTTTAAATTGTGTACAAAGATATTTAATTGTATATATTTTTTTTTTTCGCTGACACGCCATTCGTTAAGAATAGTTAATTATTATTGTTATGACAATTTAATATTGATTATTATGGTTGAATTAATTCTTGGATATCTGTATGGATAAATAATTATATGTTTTATTTTATATAGAAACATTATTGTACTATAATATGTATCGAGTACATATTCACTTGTATTATTATTAAATCCTTAAGCATTCTTTTTGAAATTTATTATCTTTAATCGAATAACAATATGAAAAATATGCAAAACAGTGATTATTGTTTATTGAATAATAATGTTCATTAGTTTCACTACAAACAAATGGATAACTACATTTAAGTTTATATGTAAAACTTAATTCAAAGACATTACTGTTCTACAAGTCTTTATACATTCATAATTTATTGGTTATCCATCTAACGGGGGTGCAAGGGAATTGATTTAATGGCATGGTTTGATAAAAAGTGACCATTAACAAAGAACGCCGAAAAGTGATACATAAGTAAGGGAGAGAGACTTGATGTGGATAAAAATCGTCATACTTGAATATAAAAATGGCCATTAGGTATACATGTTTGTGTGCGAATATGGAGGAGGAGGTCGGATATAACAAAGCCACAAAAGCACGAGATAAGTGCATATGTATGATGAATGGGCACGCGATTACTTGTATAAGGTGCTCACACATAATCTAGAGCTGGTGTACTTCCTTTTTTATCTCAGCGTGATGTCACATCCCCGTGTTACCCCGCGCAGACACATGTAAATGCTTATCTTACCTGTGGTGGCTTTTCCCCTGCTTTTGTTTACACTGTTAAAAAAAATTAAGGTAAAGCTTTTTTTTTTTTTTTACCTACGTAGATAATTCAGTGACCCATGAGACATAATGTATCTTTAACTTTATACTATGATAATGCTTTTTTTTTTTTTTTTTATATTAAAGACACAGGAATCACGTGTAATAGATTTCAAAGGATATACGGACGATAAATAAAAGGTTCAACAAATTTTGTACATAAGAAATGTACGAGTAATTGTATATTTCTTGGGTAAAGGCTAATTTGGGTTATTGCATTTTTGAAAGTATATTTCGACAAGTGTCATGAAATTATTGCGATTCTCCGAATTAATTAATTTCAACGAGTGTCTCCAATTAAGAAACTACCAACGCATCAAAAGTATAGTAGTTGTGTTTATAGCATTATTAAGGGAAATTCAAGTGTGAATTACGCTTACAATAAATGCAGTTTATACTATACGGCTCACTTAATTAAACTATGTAATATTAAAAAAAAAAATGCATATTTCAAGGAATTTGTTAATTAAAAATTACAGTATTTCAATAAGTTTTTTAATACAACAATTTGTATTATTTTTCATTGAAACAATGTTGACAATAATATTCTGTTTTAGACAATCTAATCAAAATAATTTCTTTTATTTTAGATTAGAATTAATCTTGCTGTCTTTATTTGAACTGCTGTCAAGTGATTTTAAGGTATTTGAAATATTTCATTTGTATTAATCATATAACAAGATAAATTATATATACATATATATATATATATATATATATATTTATATATATATATATATATATATATTCCTTATCGTAATAAAAATTTGAGAATTAGTTATAAAATAACATTTTCATTTTCATTTTCATTTTCATTTTCATTATTATTATTATTATTATTATTATTATTATTATCATCATTATTATTATTATCATCATTATTATTATCATTATTATTATTACTATAATTAAATTAATAAATTATTAAATTAATATTATTAAATATTAGTATTATTTTTGGAAAAATTATGGCAAATTATTGATTCGTTTAATTATGAGGATTATTATTTTGAAATAAATTATCAAAGTTGAAAAACAAAAATAGTTTTACTAACAAAAAAATAATACATAATCGAAGAAAGGATAAATCTATTTTATAGTTTAAAAAAAATACCCGTAATTATTTTTTACGTACACACATACAATCTAATATTCGCAAATATTTAGAAAACAAATTTTTTCTGAATTTTTGCTCCTATTTTGTGATTGGGAAATACTGGGCATTTATCGTTCAAACTTGATAATTCAAATTAATTTCACTTCTAATGCTAACAATGTTTATTAAAATGTCTATGAAGAGCTGAGATCAATGCAATGAAAGTAAACACAAATTTTATCAATAAAAAAATTAATCTTTAATCGAAGCAATATTTTCAGAATTGATATATTTTAAAAGATGTTTAAACGTATCAATACGCACATTCCTATAAAAATATAAACTATACAGACTATAAAGGAATAATATAATGTATATACAGAAAACATAATAAGGAATTTGTTATAATTTTTGATAATGTATTAATTTTATTAATTATTTTTGAAAATGTACATGCCGTTTACTTTTGAAAGAGACTAAATGATACTTTTGTACTGCAGATTGTAGATTTTAATGAATCTTTATGAGGGATTTCATCGTATTTTTACATGAAACATAGCTTTCATAGTTTAATTTCGTACGTCGTTGTTTCTTGAAATATGAGAAATTTTAATGTAAACACGTGTTATTTCGATGAAAAATTTCACCACCTTCTTTATTCATTATTTTAAAGCACTTGAATGGCCAAAATTAAAAAAAGAATTTACAAAGCTTAAGCAGATTATTATTCGCGTGGTTATTATTAATATTATTAATGATTACGGTTGGAATCTTGCGAATGTGAATGTTAATAAAATAAAAAGGCAATTATTGTAAATTTATTGGAATTTTATTAATTATGTGCTAGTATTTAGATTTTTTTTTTCTTTGTAATTTGGAATTGAATAAGATTTCAAGTTTAATAACGTTCGAATTAAAGTTATCTACTTTACCTACATACTAGTCAATGAAATAATATTATATACAGCTAAATGTGCCTATAAGAAATATTTAAATGAATTGTTTGTAAAATATATGTATCTCGTTAGAAAATAAAATGAGTTCCCTTACGATGTATTATGATCATATAATAAATAATATGGCTAAGCCCTTCTGAAATACGCTATTTTGAATTAGAATCGTTATTACTTTTTATTAACTGCCATTAATAAAAAAACACTGAAATTTTTATTTTTTTTACGATCGTACTTGAATAATTTAAAAAATACATGCACATATATATTTTTTTTATACCTGAAAATTAAGTATTCATAAGGAACTTTTATGCTTCTATAAAAATAACGCATGTTAACTGTTAATTAATTAATAAATTCCTTCACAATTGTTATTAATTAACAATTATTTATTAACGCAAAAGGATTTAATAAATGTACTGTAATAAGCATTTTCATTAATTAAGATATTTCTATTATCTTCTAGTTCAATAAAATTTTTAATAAACTAATATATAATAAAATAATAAAAAAAAATTGTAGCTTAAGCAAATGAATGACAAATGAATATTCGAGGTGTCGTTTTGTACGTTTTTACAATTTAGTTAATGCTGTACATTATTTTTAATATATTCTTAACAAATGTTCTCGTCTTCGGTGGTTCTCGGGTAAACGCAAATTCATTATCATTCAATTTTACTAAAAAAATATAACTTGAACGATCCAACATGAATATGCAATATGAAATAAGTGTTGCGAAAGGAAAGTAATGTTTGTGTCTTCATCGGATAAATTTATAATTAATATAGTTTAGTATTATGTAATTATTCAAGGACGATGAAAAGCTTTTAAGACTTATGCCATTTACGTTCACTCTACGACTAAGAGAATTACGCAGAATTTTTATATAGTTACGACATTACAAACATACGTCCCACACACACACACACACACACACACGCGCGCACGCACGCACGCACGCACGCACGCCTTGCGTACATACAGAGCCCCAAATTACTCTAAGTTTTAATTCAATTTAATTTTAAGATCTAGCCAATATAATTTGAATGTGTAATACGAATGGCTAAATATTATATGCATTTATTGTATTCTGAATTCTCTATTATTTCTTAGTATTATAGTGAGTTTTATTTTATGTTTGATTTCATGGAATGTATATTTTGTGAAATCATCTTGCCTATAATTACGAACATTTTATAAATAAATAAACAGATATATAAAAACAGTTTTGATGATATGCTTAAAGTAAAAAAGCTCGACGAGTGTTATTTTGTTGATTTTAATTATATTAAAATCTATTTACGTTCATTAATGCATAAACGAATATGTCCAAATATACACTTCCCATTCAAATCAATGCTATTGTATGATTGATAAGAGATACTTCATTAATAAGAGCAAATCTCATGTATATATATATATGATTGTACACGATGATATATAATGTCTAATATTACGATCTAGTGATGATAATGAATAATAACGTTTCTTATAATAATTCTGCATTCTCAAATACTTTTGAATCTACGAAATATAATCTATCCAACTACTCCGTAATATTATTATTATTATTATTTATGTTTGGTATTAGATGTACTATTCAGTAGCTGCTTAAATGGCAAGTTCTCATTGTCGAGCCTCGCATCATTAATCATTCGCATCGCTAAGCGTCAAGAAATTTTCCACGTGTAAAAATATTCCACTCGATAGTAAGAGTAAAAAGAGATGCGAGGTAAAGACTTGGCGTTTGAGGCTTGAAATGCGCAGAGTTCCCAGACACTATGCTACAAAGACTCTTTCC